GAACACGTACGTAGTGGGATTATCTTTGAGACTGGATATCGAGATATGATCTTCACTGATAAGTAAACTACCTACAAAAGTTTTGTTCAAGAACTGAATAGTAAAGACAGACACAAAATATTTATTTAAACCATTTTGCCACACTAATTGTAACCTGTCTAGACAAGATGACAAATCCTACTTGAAAAGTAACTGGAATGAATAAGTACTTAAGTAAAAAAAAACAAAGAAAGTCACCTTGATTGCAGTGCTACATGGTTGCTCAAACTGCCATAAAAGGTTGACAAACTTTGCAAAATGGAGGAAACAAAATACTACAGGTTATCCATGTAGGCAGGAGCATGAGTCTTTTGTTTGGATAAGCTATTCTTTCATATGTAGGGGTTACAAAGTTGGGAATAAATAAACTCTTTAATAACAAGAACACATACATCTTCTTTTGCTCTCTTCTCTACATAAACTGTCAACAAGTTTTGAGTTGGTGAGAATAATGCCCTGTGAAGGACAGTTTATTTGGGGAGGCTAAGTCTTACCAAGCCTCTTATACCTGTCACCTCTAGTTATCCACTATCTGTTTATCAAATATCTTTCAATGAGAACAATGTATGTGTATCTATATTAGGATGGTCCTTATTTACAAAGAAAAACTCTAAAGCTCTCAACCCTAATTCTGTTCCAATATACAAAAATAAAAAACATTAAATGTCAAACTTCATCCATTTTGGACCACATTTAGATGTTCCTCAATGAGGTTGAAGTTCTAGACCAGTGGTTCCCAACCTTTTGTGGCCCTTGCATCCCTCCCCTAAAAAGTATGCATTAGACATTTCCTCTTGGTGACATTTGGGGGAAAATGGACCTTGTATAGGCCTCTTCCATGCACCCCCTGGACCATCATTTCACCCCCACCTCTCCAGGGAGTACCAACATCCCTGTTCTAGACTGTAGTGGTCTGGTCCCATATGTACTATGCAATATAAAAACATATTTGTTATGTATTATAAAGGATTTATTTAAAGTATATGATTATTAGTTTATTGCAAGTACAACGGTATAATTACATGACTTTGGTGTGGTTAATCACTCATGCATTGTTACTGTTTCTTTTTTTTTTGCTGTTAAGAAAGCATCTTGTATGATCCTGCATAACTTCATGGAGGAATTATTTCCATTTTCTTTGTTATGATGGCATTATACACCTTAATAAGGCTCATACCCTTTTCACCATTGTTGTTTACAACATTCAAGTGTTGAACTGTCTGTAGTGCCTCTCTGCACTCCTATGACTTCGGGTTATAATTCAGAAATTCAAGTTGAACTTAGAGGCACCTGAAGAAGTCTGTTGTGGTTTTTTGTGATGAGATCTTTAACTGACATGTCTCCGGACTTCCTTATATTAAGCTGGATGCACTTTGGAGGTTCATTCATGTCTTGCTTCTCATTTAGTGCCTTTATCAGTGCTTGTTTTGTCTCTGTGGATACAGCTGTATCAAAGAATGCCAAACCAATGAATTCCTCACTGTGATACCACAGATGTTCAGCAAATATTTGGCAGGCAGATTTTAAAAGGCAGAATTCACCTACTTGTACTTAACAAGAACACTATAAGGAGCAGATATGGAATCACGAGCAGTGAACCATGCACTAAGACAGAATTGAACAAAGATGCAGATGTTACAAAGTCCTTTTTTCTCATGGCCAGTGAGCTTAAACTGTCCCATAAACATCTGGATCCATTATGTATGATGCAGTGCTCCAGATGCTATAAATTGCACTCCACAAGGAGGAAAGGTTCAAGAAGCTCTTGATAATTGTCTCTAAGTTGGCTGACCTGAATTTGTCTTTCAGCAAACTCAGGAACACTATCCTTAACTTTCTCTATGGCTTCTGCTACTTTATTCTGGTCAGCTGCAGTTTCATAACTGGACTAATCCATGTATTCCTAAAATAGCCGAAATGGATTGAAAAGTTGCAGTATGTGGACTAGAAGAAAGGCTCATACAGTCTTTGTAAACACATGCTAGGAAATGTTTTAAGATATGATACAGAACATTTCAAAAGTAAAAAGTAACATCACTGATTATTTATATATGGAATGTTCTTGAACATTATGAATAAATGTGGAATACTCTGGAATGTTCCACAATGTGATAGAACAGTGGTTCTCAAACTTTAGTACCCACTCAAGGACCTCTTTAATTTCTTTTGCAACTTCACCAAACTTATCAATGTTTTCTTTGTTTAAAAGAAAAAAGATTATATGGACAGGAAAAAGCTATATTTCAAAACTAAATGTTTTAATTTATATAAATTTAATTTTACAAAAAATATTTTAATGAAATTTGGGACATGACTCACAGCCCCATGGAGTACCCTGCAGACCCCAGTTAGAGAAATACTGTACAATTTCAACTACCTCAAATGTTATTCACTATGGATAGAATTTGATGTATATTGGAACAAAATTAGGTAATGAATGTGCTATAAATCAAAATTTCAACAACAAGAAATCCTCAATAGTCGCAGCACTTGAAATTCTTTTAGGCAGGATTAGGGTAAATTAATATGAGATCTTTTTTTTCCTTTTTATTAGTGCACCAGCAATACCAAGCATGGGGCACAAGTATACCCAATTGAATTTTATTATTCATCAGCCTACTCTCAAATTGAAATTATTTTAGGCAGAATTAGAGTAAATTAATCTATGAGACCCTGGGCACGGTCAAATACATTAATTGAAAGGGTTTGACCTCCTAAGTCCAGAACTGAAATTCATCTAAAATCAGTCACGATACGACGAAGCTATGAGATAAAAGTTTATTCTTGAAAAAAAGCTCAGAGCCATTCTATGAGCTGCTATGCCACAGCTAAAAATAAGAACCATCCTAATCTGTATATTACATGTATACAAGCTTAAAAACTGTCATCCTTGAAGAGATTCAGCAGTGTAACATACACAGTAAACAAAGTGGAATTCTTTTATATTTACTTGTATATTAATGTTTTTGAAGCTAAATATATAATTTTACATAAAACTACATGTAGCATATACATGTTTTATTCTTATTAAAGTTACCTTCACCAGCTATAATAAGAACATTAAATGTACAAAATATTTCATATAAAATTATTTTGTGTGTAACTTTCTTGAAAAGTTACAAATACAATTTATAAGTCTAAAATACAACAGTACATTCTATAAAAATGAAAGCCAAAAATTACATTCATGTCTATGATTCAAAAGACAATACACAAGAAAATGTTACTTTTTTCTCCTAAAATGCTCTCTTTCCAAAATTCAATCACTGAAAACAAAGGGCGGGTGAAACTTACAGCATTTTAGAATATAATGACACCTTCTCATGGTTATTTTTAATTTACATAAAAAGACCACCTACATACATTATTAAACATAATTAGACAATATACATAATGCACAAAAAAGTAAAATACTCATCAACCTAAATATATCTTTCACTTCACTAAAAATCCACAATCTATTCTTCATTCTTTGTTAAGTTTTTTCACTCTGCTAGACTAATCCACAGATCAATTTAACCCAGAGTAAAAATTGACTATTTTCCTTTTTCTTGTATGGTACACTTCTCTGTTAGTACTTTATCTATCATGTCATTCATAATACAAAAAACATTTAAACATGATAAATAACACATCTAGAAAGTAACTAGTTAGGAATAGAGTTTAACTATTAAATACCATATTATGTCAACATACGCACACATTATGCAAGTTTAATTTGGACTTTCAAGCTCTAACATTAGGCCTTAGTGCACATTTTTTCTTTACATCAACTTTTCAAAAAATCAGAGCTAACATTCACTGATGTTTAGGATGTCCAATCAATTATAACAAACAGAATTAATGTTGAATACACATGTAATTCTACAAAACAGATGTAATATTAATTCATGACTTCATATGTAATGACAAAAAAGATCTGAGAATTCACATAGGTCAATTAGTTTGACTTTTGTTGTAAGAGATGACTAATATTCCACTCCTATAACTTACTAGGTTTACACATTTTTATGTGTAAATATCACTGATGGAAGAGTTGTCTCATCAAGAGTAGATTCAGGATTTCTACTTGGGGAGGGGGGTCTTCCCCCAGGTCATGAAAACTTTAGAAAGAAATATGCTTCAATGGCAGGGGTAGATTAAGAGTCAGACGGGCCTGTGGCAAATTTTTTCTACCAGGCCTATTATGATTGAGATTAAAAAGTAAAGTAAAAAAAACTAAACCTCATAACAGGTCTTTTTTAAGTCCGGGCCTGGAGTTACAGACTCAATATCCCCTACCTTAATCCACCCTGTAAGTGTAAATTTTTGGATAATCCAGTGGAAAGGGGGTGGGGATGCAATTCATTAATCCTCTACCCACTGGATTTGCTCCTGCTTTTTGAGATAGATTAAGCTCTTTTAACTTATTTCCTCTTGAGAAAAGGTTTTAATGATGATATTGGAAGTTTAAAAAATTATGTAAGGGATCAATAGCAAAAGGCCTCTAATTTCTTTGTGCTGTATTCTAAAGACAAGAGGATGAAACAACACAAGTGTAATATACAGAAAAAAAAAAAAGCTTGGTACCAGTTAAGACCATTTTCTTTTCCTAATAGGGTGGATAGCTTAGTGGAACACGTCACTACCAACAATAAATGCAGCCAGCATGTTATATTTTAAAGGGTGAAATTACAATTTCTTAAAAAATAAAGCATGGATTTTATTTTTTTAGAGTGGGTCCACAACTACAAGGACAACCTTTAACTTTAAGTTGAAAGTCTAAATAATCCCTTGTCGTATGTTATTAACTTAGTAATACTGTAGAACTACTACTGAATACTAGTTGTAGTACTACTGTACCAGTACCAGACTGCCCTAGTCAACTTCATACAAGATACAACCCTTTTCAAATGAAAAATTAATTATAAATTATAATTAACAAGAATTAATACATATTATATTCACAGAATGGAACTTACCCAAGGAAGGTTTGATCTGCTATTTGTTTAACTCTGAAAAACTGCTTCTTCATTTTCACACATCGCTTGATATTGAATATTCAATTATATATTTTTAAAATCATTTTCTATAACAATAATACAAATTAACGTAAGCCCGCCCTCTGTCATATAATCATCATATCGCTACCGTAAAAAAACGTTGAAACTTAAGATATATATAAACAAGTAAATTTTAATCTATGCTCATCACTGATTACTAGTACTAGTGATACAGACGGCGATAGTAATGATAATGATAGTCAGTTCAACCACATTTCGAGATTAACCAATCTTTAAATTTAATTACCCTGCGTCATATTACAATTTATAATGCGAAAATATTAAATTAACTTGCACATAATCTACATATCAAATTCTTTAATGTTTCTAAGTCTAAACACTACTGACATACTATGCTACCATACGTTAACTGTACCTCACTGAACCTGATTTCTAAATTTATTATACACTCAACCTTCTGAAGAAACGTACAGTGGATTATGGGATTGGATAGTTGACGCTCTCTATTCTCCGGAAAGGACAAAAAATTAATTAATATACATTAAATTCAAAACTACTTTCATGCTAACTGTCTAAAACAAAAATATATGATGAAAATAATATAAGAAAACTGTATTTGTACAACTACAAACCAAAACAATATATGTCCCAAAAATATGAAGTGTCTTTATATGTGATAATATTGACTAGTGATATGGACACTTTTCTTCATAAACTGACAACTCATTGATATGATAGTAAATATATATTACAAAGGCATATAATCTTCCCATGTTAGATAACATTTTAAAGGTTAAAAATATAGCTGAACTTATACTGACAAAACTTCATTATCTTATATTCTAAAATTGAAATTTTTAAAACATTTACTGATAAACTTATGTAGCAAAAAATTACGATTCTTTGTTTGTGGAAGTCAAATTTATGGCTAAGGTATATTTATTGTAAGGTTATATTATCAAAATTATTAGTAATATTATTATAGATTTTGTTTTGTTTTCACAAAGAAGACGTTGTTTAATAATACTGTTCATGGGAGACACCTCTTTATCTTATTCAAATTGACATTGTACACAACATTTGAAAAGAGAATGGCACAAATGATCATTCATAAAATAATAATACTTAAAATTAAGAGAAAATTATCATATCAAATATTCTACCTTCTTATGATAGTGAGCTAAGTAATGAAAAGGAGACGCTCTTCTTAGCCTCATGGTTTTTGACGAGAGCTGTGTTAAAACAGAGAATGGTGGGCACGAAAGCAATGACATGGTAGATGGTATTTTCTAGTAGAAGTTATTTCAATAGCAGATGTTAGAATATTATGATACTGCAGAAATATATGTGGTAATACGGAAGGGAAAAAGGGATGTAGTATGGTTGTTGAAAAGTTAGACACAGAAAATAATTTTACCAGGCTGTTTTTTAAATTTGTTTTTTTAGGTGTTTCTGTAGGAGATAACTTGGCAGAGCTCCTTTAAGTGTAAAATAATGGACCTGGACAAATGTAAGTAAATGAGTAATATATTTATAGTTACAAACAAAGAGAAAACATTTCGTGGATACTTGCGCAGATGGCTATGTTTAGTTCCATAGCTTTTTCTCTTTCTCAGGATTAATCTTTGCAGCGCGATGTGAACTTAAAACATAAGGTTCTTAAAATAAGACTTCACATGACGGTCTCCTAGACGAAACTGACTAAAAAAGCGCACCTGAATTCAACGGGTAAACTCGCTTTCTTTGTCCAGTCGACAGAATCACATTGTGACCTTTGTCCTCCCTCAGCGTTGATCGGCTGTACTAAAACACATGCAACTCGACCAGCAAGGATATTACAATGCTAAACCTTTCAACATGGATTCTATACTTTACTGCAATATCTTCTCGGACAGAATAGGCATTATACATTATATAGAGCAAAGAAACAAATTTCCTACAACAAAGCAATCTCAACGACTTTCTGGGCCAAATGTTGCGGCCATTATGGCTCGAAACTAAATAACTGAAAACTTTAAAAAATATTTGTATAAAGTAGATAAAAAGCATATGCCTGCTTATTACACTTGTAGACTATACGTACCTTGTTCAGTCAATCATAATTTCTCTTTTGTGCACTTTTTGCTCGTCCTATTTTGCTACTGGGCATCATATACAACAGGTAATAATACTAAAATATGTATTTGAATATCAGTATTTTTTATCTTTACTGATTGAATGTTTACCATATCGTCAACCAGCGCATAACCCTTTTCATGGTATTATTGTCTTGCGATTAAATAACACGCAAAAATATTGGGTTTTAAAATAAAATGCGCATGCGGAAGTTGATTTCCTTTTATCATTTCTTTTGCCGATTTTTCTATTGTATGGTTCCTTGCAAGTAAGTTTCTCTGATCATTTCATGCTTTGAAATGAACCATGGCCATTTTGCCAATGTTTTTTTTAACTATGCTTTTTTTTTTAGTTACAGTTATCCCTATAATTAAGGATTTGTACCTTTAGTTTTAGTTACTTATAATTATTAGTTGAATTTTAATTATTATTAAAGTTAACTACATATCATTTTAATTATCATTATAGTTAACCGAGTGTTGACAACCTTGAAATGAAAACAAGGCAATACAGTGGTATATAGGGGTAAGAAAAAGAAACTTTTAAAAAAATTTAAAGCATTATTATGTATTTGGGACAATTTGCAGAAGTCGTTAATAAACATAGTTTCGGTAGCTACATGACTGTTTTCTGCATTTCTGAAACATTATACTCACGTACACAGGGATTTAATTCAGTCAGAACGCTTGTCCCCCAACGTATGTGGTTGTATGTCAGATAACTAAATAATTTTCGTTACTTTTTTCGTTACTATTACATTATAGTTTTACATGTTTTTAGTTATATTTATTTATTATTAATTGATATGATTTATGTTCGTTAATAAACATTTTCGTTATAGTTAATTGAAAAAAACACTGCATTTTGCTTGCTATCAATAAAAAAAAAAAAAGGAAAGTGCAGTCGTGGGTTAACTAATTTTTCAAACGAATCCATTCAAGTGACCTAAAAAGACATAGGAAGTTTTTGACCAGCCTTCTTTTGGGTTATTTCAACAACAACAACAAAAATAAAGAGTTAGTTAATAAGTTAATCAATCAGTGATATTTTGTGAGTTAGCCAAAAACAAATAATTAAATCTTGATAAATTTGGTAAAGTCTAAGTCAGCAGAGAGTATAGCAAATCTATTCAACTTCTTCTGAGATATGCTTGTCCGTGGATGATTTTAATTTAACTTAGAGAAATTGTGCTCCTCACCAGCTATGGTAAATGGCATCATGAGGGAATTCGATAAGCTAGCTATCAATATGTTTTAGGAAATATTTATATTAACGTCTTGATGAGATTGATAGTTTTTATTGCAGTACCGTTTTTTTTTTGTTGTTGTTGTTTGTTTGTTTTTTGGCAACATTTTGCAGAACATCTTAAGCTATGCGCATAGGACTAGACTATCTATTGACTAGAGTTTCCGAATGAGAGAAGTTTGTGTGGAAATATTTCATAAATGAAATAGCTTTCTGTCATTATTTGTATTTTGCAGAACTTTTATTAAAGTAAACTTAATTTTTAAAATCTCAAATGGTTTGTTCAGATTAACTAGCTTGCATTTTCAGTTGCTATGTTGAAGAGTTGTTAAGAGGGAAAATATCACCGTGATTTCGAGCTCATAGGGGAAGCATTACCAGCTATTCTTTGAGAACCTCTTGGAATTATGATAGCTACATTCACTCACATTTGTTATAAACATTTAATGCTTTTATAAACTGTTTTCTTGTATTGAAGGTGTGTTTTATTCTGGTTGATTTTTAAGACCTTTATTTAAAAATTACTGAAATTTCCGATATTATCAAGGAAGTGCCGCTACAACTGTGGCACCGCCCTAAAACCGGTACTATCTCTGACTAATTGAGTTCACGAGAAACAAATGGTAACTGAAAATAAATGTAAAATTATAATAAGTTATCTTTATTCAAACTGACACAGTGTTTTGAGTGACTTATCTACAAACATGTCATGTTTCTTTTTTACACTCATCTTGCGAGTTGCGTAAAGTCAATGCTATATTCGGTTTTTATTGGAACGCTCTTGGCAGACTATTGTTGCGTCATCGAGATCACGTGACAATTCTCACGCTCTCTTG